AGAGGACTCCTGCAAGCATCTACAAGTAGCAATCACAAACTAATTTCATGAAAATTGGGTAAAAATTTAAAATCATCTCCTTTATCTAAAAGTTGAAAGGAAAAGAAATGAAAACTATGACTAATTAGGTGCAAACCTTTCCAAAATCCAACAATAATGAAGTGGCATTGGCATTAGAAAAATAATGAAGAACATTAGATGACAGGAGGGATAAAAGAAATATTTGAAAGACAAAGATGTAGCACCATGTAATTGCTCTCGTATTGTGTATTTTGGTTTTAAACAAGAGTTGTACAATATTTTCAGATCAAATCAATAATTTTTTTTTTCCAAAATTGGTTTCCCATGTTCTAGTTAATTTTTTTTACTGTCCATATCTTGAATTTGCAACTTATGAAAAGATTAACTTATTGTGAAATAGATGTGCAAGAAAATCTCTTTCTGTGCAGTTAAATGTGTTATACTTAGTATATAAATACAACAAAAATAAAGAGAATTATATCAATAAAAGAGGAATTGTGCAGAATACATGAAAGCAATTTTTCTATTTTTAAAGGAAAATGATAAAAAACCAACAACACCAAGAGACTGATGATGAGGTCCCAACTGTTATGGTATCATAAAGTAGTCTACATCCTCTACCTCATTTGTCAGTCTCAAATATAAACTTCCCACAGCTTAAAACAAAAGAATACAAGCATATTAATATCAAAGGAAAATACGTTGTCTTCCCTCCCATGTGTAAAAGTTAGCGAGATCATGAAATTGGCTATGAATATCACCTCTAATCGCCACAGGTAGCAGTGGCAAAAAAGCTCGGACGGCTTGGGCTCGGCTCGAAAAAACCCGAGTCGGTCCCGGCTCAGGCTCGATGGAACGGACCCCAGGGGGGAGTCGGCTCGAGCCCGGGCCGGCCCGTGGCCCAGGCAAGCCTCCTATTAAAAAAAAAAAATTTTTAAGGCAACAAGTAGGCAGGTTGCAACAGGCATGCAGCTATTTTTGCAGGCAGCTAAGAAAAAATAATTAAAAAAATCAAAAAATTAGAGCCGGCAGGCCAAAAAAAACTTGGTCCAAAAAAGCTCGGGCTCGGCTCGTTAACATCGCTAGCCACAAGGCTTTTTATAGGCTGCACCGCAGTAAAAGAAAATCATGTAGAGCAAATAAGAGACATTTTTGATTGGGCACATGGTTAAGGCAGCTACTACTGATCTATAAGTAAATGAATTTATAACACGGGAGCTCAGACATGAGACAACGATATATGTAAAAATGAGAATATAAAAATAAAGCACTGGTTTTTATATTTGAAATTACATTACGATGAAGATAATTATTATAATAAAAAATGATTGTGAAGATGCAAAAAAGGGATATTTGTTACTTCGGAGAGTAGTATATTTGAGCTCTATGATTTTTTCATGCGTACAACATCTATGTAAACACGCCGAAGGAAATCAACTGACATAGAATAACATTTAAAAAAAAAAATATATATATATATATACCGAATCGATAGGGAAAAAAAATTAGTACCTGGAATGGGAGCTTTGGTAAGATCGGTCCCGAGGATTCTTTGCTCAATCTTTCTGCCGCTATTTTTTGTCAAATTTTTTCCGAGTAAAATTATGAGAGAAATCAATGTATCGTCCGTCAACCCAGTTATGAATGGCGAGAATCCATTATATCCTCTAACGAATTTAAAAAACATTTTTGTTTTAATCCTACAGTAAAGAGGGCAAACAATTAAGTATGAAATTTACTAAGTAAATTTTATAAAGATGGGAAAATTAAAGAAGTTTCTTAGTCATATTTGATGACCATTCTCTATAATATGCAACTGCCAAAATTCTTGTGTTAATGAAAAAAGCGATGTTCGCTCCAGTAGAAAGTGTGAACCTAAAAAAAATATGCAAATTATATAATTAGTTTTTTCTTTTTAATACGTAAATATTATTGTAAAGGAAATACTGTGTTTCTATTTTATTTATCGTTGTATGAAGAGACTTTCAGATTAGTCACCCATATGATAGGTTTGCTTCCAAAACTTTCAATTGTGGTAATGAAAGTGTCCCACAGTGTTAGCATAACAGTCTGGTACATAGACTTCCTTGTCATTCATAACATGCCATTCTGTTTAATAGCTTTTTGGGCAGCTTCCTCAGTATTGTATTACACGAAACCATAGCCCTTTGACTGAGCAGACGCATCTGTTTCAGCTTTGGAGGAAACTATGTTCCCAAATAAAGAAAATATCTCATGGTACCTTGTTATCAATTGCTATGTCCAAATTCTGCAAGAATAAAATATAAATTAATTTCTTGAAGATTAACCAAAACAAAAAACTAAGGGAAAAAGAGAACAAATATATTTGCAGTACTACTTCTACGTGAGCTCGAGTCTCGATTGGGATATGATATTCGGATAGGTTTTTCCAGTTAGATTAGTAAAGTTCAGATCTCCAGATTTACGCAAAAATTTGAAATATTACTGCGTAAGATCTAAGCAAATAATTCTAAATGTTCATTGAACACAAGGCATGTGATAAAATAGGATTCAAGAAAAGTTCCACTCTCCTAACATCATATTAGATTAATCCCTTCCTAGCATTCGTCCATAAAAGACTAAATTTAAATAAATAAATATTATCTCTAATAGCATAGTGTGAGATCTGTAAAGTTTATAATGTAGTGAACAATAGATT